GCGCTCTCCTCTCCACCTCTGTTGGTACTACCATTTTATTTCAATCAGCAATTAATTACAATGAACGAGAGTAACCGTGAGTCTAGGAAATAGCATTTTTCTGCATTTTGTAACTAATTCGTCATGGGCGGCCAAAATGCATTTTTAATGGCGGCCAAAATTATTCCTGAGAATGACTCTTAGCCGCCGGCGGCCAAAAGCAATTTTTTTCGGCGGCCCGAAAAATTCTCGGAAATCACACTTGGCCGGCGGCGGCCAAAAGTCAATTTTCCGGAGGCCAGAAGTAATTTTCATAAAGTTATATTTGGCCGCCGGCGGCCAAGAGTGATTTTCGTCGGCGGCTAAACCGTCGGCGGCCAACTTACACTGAGCCTTTCATTCAATCTCGCGCTCTCTTTTGTCCATTCTCATGATTTATTTTCGGTTTGAATTGGACTTATGTCCAAATTCGGTCATTTTTTTGCCGCTTTTTGACCAGATTTTTTTTCATCTCATATTATGAGTCATTTTTCAAGTGGATTAGCTTAAACCAATTTAAGGAGTGTTTTTTGTATGGTGTGCTCTTTTTTTTGGAATTTTTGCAACTCTTTCGGCTACAATGTGTATTATCTATTGGCGTGATTTAGCTTTCGCAATCCAAATGGAGATACTTAACTGTTTTTTAAGAAAAAAATTCTTTTTTTGCAATCATTTTTTCAACGAATCAATTTCAAATCATTTTTTTTTCTTTCTTTTCGATGAATCAATTCATTGATTTTTTTCGATTGATTTTTTTAAGAACAAAATTAAGTATTCGAATTGTGTTCATTGACAAAAAGAAACTTTAGATGTTTCATTTTTCAAGTGGATTAGATGAAACTTTCCACTGCTTCTTTTCAGAAGCAGAATTAGAATTTTATTATTAGACAGATAAAGTGTGTTTAAAATTAGCATTTGAATTGAATTCAAAACCAATTTTGTCAAATTAGTTCACTTGGAAATTTAATGTTGGAATTTAGTTCCTTCGTTATCGTTATCATTACTGGGAAATTTTCAATTTTGTTTGTTTGAAAGTTTAGAGTGATTTTTTTTTGACTTGAGCAACATGTTGGACCAACATTGTTGATTTCGATGAATAATTCACACTAAAACCGGTTGAATTTAATTTATTCGTGCATTTTGTCACACTTTGATCTCATTTTGACTAACTCTGGCTGATTGTCAACGATTGTGAAAAAGCCGATTCTATCAAAGCCTTGATGGAATTTACAATTTCGATGGAAATTTCATTGAATTGGATGGAAATTTAAACGAAATCTATTTCAACATTAATCAATTAACAACACTAAATATACACACTGTATGTTTAGTCACTGATGTTGATAAAGAAACCAATTTTACCGTCGATTTTTAAACCGCAAATGAAATTTTGAGTAAACCAAACATCAAATTAATTCACTTTACCAATGCCATTTAATTGAAATGCAAATCGTGATACAAATTTCAATTAAAAAAAATCACCTCACACACAAATATACACAGCATCGATAAACCAGAGATCGATGCATTTTGCACCCAAATCATCAATGAATTCGTTTAACATCTAAATGTTTACAACACTTGCACTGATCAAAATGCAAACTAACACTCCAAATAAATCATGTTGCACCAAAATGAATTCGACTTTGATTTGAACAAATAACCGCCGCTGTCGTGTCGGTCATCGCACCTAAAAGAAGCCACCAAACGCAAATTGTGTTGCAATTAACCAAAAAGATATGAATCAATTTTGCTGTGTCTATGTCTCACCAGCACGAATACTCTGTATATATGTGTGTTTTTTTCCGCAAAACCGTTTGAAATTTTATAAATAGAATATTTTAGCTAATTGCAGTAACTAACCGCATATATATCTATCTATAGTAAAATTAGCTGAAAACCGAAAGTGCAAAAGAAATATGTGATTTAGAAATTAATGAATAAATTTTTTTCTCTCTTTTTTTTCCACTCAATTTCGTTGTTGGCGATGTCCCAAATATGAATCGGATGAATTAACAGCAGTGCAGTGCTTCGATCGCAGTCGTTCCACAGTGGCGTTGGCCAGTTCAACAATTTACAGCTGCGGCAACAATTTAGCGAGGATAGTTTCAATAAGAATCGTTGGACGGTGATGTCAACCGAATCAAGTGATGAGGAAGAGTTTGGTGACAATGCATAAAACAGGCTCTTTTCGTAACTGAGCTGTAGTATTAATTAGAGAGAAAGAAAAATGAGCAACACATCAGCGCGTTGTCTCATATGAAAAAAATGTCCTGAATATCGAAGCATTGCCGCTTTTTGGCTTGCTTCAAATCATTTTCGTTAATTGTCGTATTATTTTCATTCGCTCATTTGTTTTACACTGAATCGATTGTTTTTTTTTTAGATTGAAGATCAAAGGTTTAGGACCTAAGTGTTAGGTCATTTGAACAGAGAACATAATTCGTTATCGTTATCGAGAAATTTTGTAGAAAATATTAGAGTTTAAGTGAATTGCGTATACAAGAGAAAGCAAGGTATTTCGAGCCAAGGATTGAAATCATTTTTTTTACTTTTCTCTTTCTCTCTTTTTGATGAATTGCATTTTTCTGTTTGGCAATTCAAATAATTATGATTTATTCATGACCCAAAACGATGGGCAGTTCAATTTGGCAGTTTAAGGTGTGTGATATTTATAAAAAGTATTTCAAAGAATGCACCATCAAACAACACATTCAATTGAATTTATTAGATTGTGTTTTATTTTTTCTTCATTAAATTTATACATTATTTCTCACAAACCGGCGATACTAATCATATTAATAAAATGAAAATACCAAAATCATTCGCATTCAGTTTCGTAGAAACGTTTTTATTTTCGGATTTACTGGAATCAAAACAAAAAGAAAACAAAGTGTAATATTTTCGAATAGATAAGGCTTAAACTGTTTTATTAGATTTCGGTTGCAATGACAACATTTGAACTAGTGTTACGGAAATTAAAAACCGTCCTTTTTTCTCTTTTCATTTCGTTTTAATTTTTTTTTTCACGCTTCATTGATTGTAATATTTATTTTGTATGGAACATCCATCATTAGCAACTAATTGAACATATTTCACGTATGTAAATTATGAAAGAAAAAACGAAAAAGAGAAGAAAAAAAAGAAAGAAAGAATTGTTACATAAGTGATTGAGCCCACATTGGGGCTCAAACGATGGATTGCTAATTTTGTTGAAAAAAAAAAACAAATTTCATGGAACATAATTTTTAAGTATTTTAACACGTTGGACACCATTTTTGGCAAAGCAATATTCATATGGCTCTAAAACTAGTTTTTTGTTGAAGAAAACAAAGGAAGAATCAATTGTAATATAAATTAATTTTCACGGCTAAGTCAGAAAATTTATTTCAATTTTTTTTATTTAAATTCACAAAAAATACTCAATTATTCGGAGCAAGTAAAAAAAAAACAAAAATTTTGGTGCAAAAATTAATTGTTTCAAATAACATTTTGACAAATCGAAGGAAAAATTTGCGATTTTGTGCAATAAATTCGATTCAATTCGAATGAAAAAGTGTTAGATTTTTTTTTTCATTTATACAAAGGTGATCGATCACCCAAAGTCAAATTACCACAGAAAAATACAAATTAACCACTTTTGAAAACTAATCGATGGCAGAAAGAAAAAAAAGTACGAAAAGAAAAATATTACCGAAATTTCAACTAAACCCAGCTTTTGACGCAAACAAATATTTTTTGGAGTAAAACGAAAAAAAATCGAAGCAAAAAAAATGATTTTAAAAATAAATTTTTCTTCTGAATGAAAATATTCTGAAATACTTCTGAATGAAATTAATGCAGTAAAAAAACGATTTTTGAAGATTGAAAAAAATTGTTCGAATTTAATTGAAGAAAAAAATAGTGCTAACAATTCAAATTTTATGAAACGAAATATTGAATATACGCAAACAGAATTTAAGAGAACAAAAACCACATTTCAAACAGAATTTAATCCATAATTTGCGATTTTTTTTGTTTTTCAAACGACGCTTACTCCGAGCCAAGTCTTCTATTGTGATTCAGTTCAGCTACAGCAGATTAGTTATTACATCAATTTTTAATTCAGATTTTCGAAACGCGTCTATTGTTTTCTCATTACCCAAAATCAATATATTATCCGATATTCAACCGGCCAGTATTTATATCAATTTATCCAATCCACACCGATACATAGTCTAAGAATGGAGACGAAAACTCGCAACAATTGACCCCATGGTTTTTTTTTTGATAAAGCATTAACAGTTCGCATTGAATTATAAGGCAAAAAATGAGAATCAATTTCAATAGTTTTTGCACAGTTTAAAAATATTTGATTGTTTTCATTTAAATGAGCACTAAAATTTGTAAAAAAAAAACATTTTCTGCTTGACTTGACTCATTCGGAGCCACATGACAGGATATCGCTTAATTTTTTTTGACTAAAGTGTTTTTAAATCGCACTGTGTTCAGAAGAAATGCTAAAAATCCCATCATAAAAATAATCTTTTGAGAAATGTTCAAAGCCCATTTTGCGAGTTTTCGGAATTTCATTCAATTTCCGAAGTGATTACGTGGCCCATTTATGTCCAATATTCGTATTATCCTAATTTTTTTTTCATTTATTATTTGTTAAGAGTAAAACTACAAGTATTTCATTATATTATTTCTTAATTGTTTGCTGTCATCGATTTTATCATCAATAGAAAAAACAAAAGAAAGGAAAGCGAAACGCGCAACAATTTACATTTTTCATGGAGAATTTAGTGAATAGAGAATTTATTATTTTGATAGCAACGACACGATTTTATTTTAATTTTATCTCAGCTCTTCCCTCGTGCATAAGGCAGCGTTCATTGTGTAGGAAGAAGAAGCAATCAATAAATAGAGCCCATAACAGAAAGAAACAGAAATCATTCATTATTTTGACCCCTTGGATCGAATGTTCCATATGTTCCATTCAAAGCATTCGATCAGGACATTGAGAGCTGTATAAATTGTAAGATCAGACACATTTGTAGCTCAATTATGTAAAAAAAAAATTATGGAACATTTCCACCAAAAATCCATTTTACTAGCGACAAATGAAGACCAAATACAGTAGACGCATAGATAAAAAAATATTTCGCAAAACTTATCAATAGCAAACAATAACAACACAATTGACCGAATCAATAGATGCGTGTATATATTAGAGTCTAATGAAATCATGAAAAATATGTGAAATCAATTACAATGGTGTGATGCACTGACAGATGGATGGAAAAGATAAATAAACCAAGTTAATTAGATTAATAAATAAAAGATTGTTTTATGTCAAACACGTGTGTTTTACTGTAAAAACTATGAAATGTCTACTTTTTTCGATTGCGAGAGTTGTTTTTTTTTCTTCAAAATATAAATAACAAAAAGTGGTGCTTTCAATGTTCGTTTGTAAATCATGAATAACCTCATTTCTTCGTGGGAAAAATTGAATTTTTGACTTAAAAATCTGTCAAGTACTGGTTTTGGTTCGATCTCTACGAGCACTTTGAATACTCGACTCAACTACAATTCGACACTGCTCAAACCTGCTCAAACTGAAATCGCCAATGGTACTTGGTGCATACTGACTGAAATGCGCGCAACGGGTTGATGTGATTGCTGCAATCTGAAATATGACGTAAAAACTTACCCTTAGTTTGCCAAAATATGTATGTGTTTGTTAGCTACTGTTGTGTGCCGTATCAAACCAGAGTTCGTAATGAAGCCGTCACTGCGAAATGTAGAGAAAATATGGAAAAAAAATGTCAAACGGTGCCAAGTATTCGAAGCTATGACGAAAAAATTCATTAGTTAGTCAGAATTCAGACGTAGCAGAAAACCTCAAGTATTTCAAACTTTGACCAAATGACGGGTTGGTCATTGAAATTGGCGATTTTTTTGGGTAAATTCATCAAAACAGTTTGTTATTTTAAAGAAGAAGAAGAGAATATTGATGTGACACAACTAAAGAAGTATCTTATTGTTTCATTCATCATGTAGCAACGTTAAATGAATGCATAAATGCATCAGTTTACCAGGTGGATCAAACAATATATACGCCTTGTACTATTATCATCAAAATTGATGCCATTTTGCAAATAACGCACCGAAGGACATCAGGTGAAAATGACACGACCAACATATCAATGCCGAATAACGTCGATTACATTTCGGGCTACTGTTTGAACAACACGGCTTCTTTGAGTTGGAGTTTCAATGGACTCCAAATGAACATGGATTTCGAATTGAACGAAATAAAAGAATGGCATTTCTATGCTGTCCAGTTATGGTACCGTTCATACAATCCGCTGTTTGAACAAAGCGATCAGCCTTATCAGAAAGTGAGTTGTGTCTTTAAATCAGTCTTTTAGAGAATTAATTTTTACTGTGTGCTATTCAGGTATTTTTATCGGGTGATAAAGTTCATCTGTTACACTTTGAAACGATTCTTGACATACATACATGCATCAGATGTAATATTAGCCTAAATTTGGTGGTAATTTTTGAATTTGATTTATTTTTTAACACTACATGTCCATTAAATTTGATAAAAAAATTGAAAATGAAAAAATAAAAAACATTTTCGTTTTTGCGTACGCCATTTTTTAGGATACAAATGATACTAGTCACAAAGCTGCACTGGATCTGGACTATTTTTCCTTCCAACGCATCTTGAAACCATCGACCGACAGGAATATCAACTACAAAGTCATGTTAGGTCCAATCTTGGCTATTGCATTCGTATTGTTTGTCGCTGTCTGCCTATTTGCCATCCACGAAAGCAAAGTCATGAAAGAACAAAACTGATTTGAATGAAATTCGTTCGAAACTAGAAATTCGTTCGAAATAGAAAATATGACCAAAAGAATTTTGTAATATTCATCAAGTCAAAGGGATATTGCAACTTTTTTGACCAGAAAAAACGCTATCTTACGTCGTGCCCGTAAATTATTTTACTGTACATTTCGATGGTAGAGCTTGAACAAAAGTTCAACACTATGCATAAACTCGGAGAGAGCTTGATAAACTTGATGAAATACATATATTTTATGGTAGTTGCAATACCCCTATGCATCAAGTTTTTTTTTTTTTGTGTATAAACATTTTGTAAGCAAAGAAATGTGAGCAATCAAATGTATAATAAAACAACAGAGATTTCTTTTAATTCAAAGGAAATTTCGCCCTTTCCAAGAATGTCGTCATATTTTTTCGTCGCGAGGCTAATTGGAACAAAGTTTAGTAACGGGTAACGAACGCCGGTGTATATATGGTTTATCGCAAATATCTAAATGTTAAATTTATGCTGTCGTGAAAACAAATCATAAATTTGTAACAAAGCACACGGCACATACGCACTCTTATGTGCTATGTATGTGTGTATTGTATTTGTTCGTCACAATTTGCGTGCGAATGAAATGGCCCAATGTCGATGAGAGGGAATATGAAACGCGCAAAAAATTCATACAAAAGCAAATAATGCGAGGAAATCTGTGCTCAGTCAAAGAAAACTTTCCAACATTTGTGGCAAACGTAAAGGAGTGGATAAAACATGAGAATTTCCACGAGCATTTGCTTCGATCGAGTATATAATTGGGTGTTTAAAGTAGTGATTATTTCAGGTAAATTCTCCGATTTTCAAATTTGTTTTTTCATTCGTAATCTGTGGATTTTAGCAAAGTAAATATTGCAATCTATGTCTATATTTTTTGGTGTCGGTATCTAGTGTTGATTTGTATATCAAATGTCGTTTCGATAATTCTTCCAATTAGAAATTTTCAAGTAAGTACTCAATTATCGGATTTTTCTTCTAAATACAAAGGAAAAAGAAATTTCGTTATATCTTCAATTGGTTTGATTGTTACACTATCCTTAAGTTTATCTTATCTCCAAAGAATGATTCCCGAAGCCTTTTAATAACCAACATTCAATTTGATCGATTAGCGTCCAAGTTCTCATCATTACCAAAGAGAATCAAAGGGTCCAATTTGTTATACGGTTGAAACCGATGCCAATTTAAATATAACCTACCATAAAAACTCCGGTGATCATATAGTATTGGCTACGGCTGTCCTATTGCTGCCAATCGACATCGATTGGACGTTCGGATATTGTTCGGGCACATCAGCCGGTGTCAATTTGGTATACGATGGATTCACATTTAATTTGGATTTGAGACGATCGCTAGTCGATACAAAGTGGTATTTTAGCAGTGTTCGAGTTCGTTACAATTCATCGCATTCGATATTTGAGCAAACCCACCGTCATAATGAACTAGTAAGTAGATTTCTACTAATTATAATTAGTCAACTAATTAGTTGACGTTTAAACGTATAACATGTTCGTATAATTCATTTGAAAAATGGGTTTTTTAGCCCAAACTGACACAGCCATTTGATGAAAAATTATATTTAAGAGTATTTTAAAGGAATTAAGCAATTAACCATTGTACTCTTACCAATTAATCGAAATATTGAATATATTTAAGAGTCTCGTAAGTAATTTTAACAACTTTTTTTTTCAACTTCATTCAGATTACATTAATACCCCAAGATCCGGTCGTATACTTGACGCCAAACCACGAAGAATACAATTGCAATGGATGCATTATAAACTTATTCGAAAAGGTAAACATTGACATTATATAGTCAACAATCATAATGTATTGTTCGTTTTTTGGATCAAGTAAATTTTATTTTGAAATTGTACCAAACAAATCTTCATAGAAACTTTATTTTATCATTTTATATCGTATTGTTAGCGTTAGCCATTTCATCATTTTATATAGAATATGATTTTGATATGTCAATCAAACTTGTAGCTACCCGGGTGAACGCGATACGTGCATTCGTAGCATTGAAAGCCTAGGCGTTCAGTATTTAAAATGTATATAAAAATGATGAAAGCCTCATCGAACGACTGTAGGCTTTCATCAAAGCGTATCACGTTCACCCGGGTATGCAAATCAAATCATGGAGTAGCCGCATTTTTTCTACAAATAAAATTAAAATTATCAAATAAAAATGCATGAATTCTTAATTGATTTCAACCAATGTCACAATTCATTTCAGGATCATCAATATCCCCATAAAGCTCTCTTGAATTTGTACAATTTTCGATTTCTTCGTACTGCGGAAGATCATGGCCTTACGGATTACTCGGCTATTTGGGGACCAGTTTGCGCTATTTTTTTCCTTTTGCTCATTGCGATTTGCCTATTTTTCGTTCATGACAGCAAAATGAGCACATTAGAGCTATAGCTAACTGAACTCGGGAGCGACAAAAGGCCACATTTTGATACATTTTCAAACTACACTTGAATTTTTTTTTTCATTCTTTAAAAAAATCTAACGTTCACTGAATCATGGTGTGCTGGTGGTACTTTTTCATCAAAGCAAATGATTTCAATCGATCCTTACCTCTTTTAAGCAAATGATAATCAAAATTATGAAAAAAAAAAAGATTTTATATCCGTTTTGAATACGTAAATTTATGAATTATGACGTGCTTATTTTGTAATAGACGTTGTTCACAGAACAAAGAAACTCTAAATTGTAATTGGGTGGAAAAAATAAAAACGTTTATAATTTCAAATAAAAAAAAAGGAGCATGGAATTTGCATTAAAATTGTTGCCATTAATATGGTCAAGGATGTGTTAGGTGTTGCTGCTGATTACCAAGTGGATTGTCAATGGCGCGAACTTTTGATTAGGACAATGGGTAGACACGTATCATCATGAAGAACATATCCGTTTCGATAAGCTTTCAACAACGAGTTAACCATAGTTTGACGAGTGGACTGGATGTGTTTGTAGTCGAAATAACCGATGAATTGATGCGCATGCCGAAGCATACACTCACGCAAGTTACAATATCAATACTCGTTGTGTATGCTCACAGTGTATGTGCTATTATGGATGTGGAAAATTTGTTGTTACGGTGCAAAGCAGTGTGTTTGTGTGAGGGTGTGCTTTGTCTTTTTCCCGCGCATAGGCACAACAGTAGCACAATCCAAATTGACTATCTCTTTCGCTTGTAATCAAATGGGTAAACAAGTGTTGTGTTTGTATTGGTGCGTTTGTGTGCGTGTACGAGTGAGACAGTCGATGCGAGTGAATGAGAAACGAGGAAAAGGTCACATGAAAAGCTAAACTTCAAAAATATTGCTTTTCTGGAAATTAATTTTTCGTTTGAACAGAAAAATCAACAACGTGAACCAACTAAACGAATTTCCTTCGAATTGCATACACTCATCGAATTGAAAAAGTGATAAAGTGAACGACGGGCTGAAACTCGGTGATTTTGTGGATTTTCTTCGGTGATTTTCTTATCGACAAGAGAACGACCAGCAAAATCGCATTTCGTGTGAGCGTGTGATAAGGAAAATCCTTCGAATTTTTGGTCGAACGAACGCAACAAAATGAATTACATTTTTAGCATAAATCAATTCAATTTCGATCGAATGGTCAATTGGTTGATTAAATTGGCCGTGATTTTGGGTAAATATTCACATAATTCGGTATTTTTTCTTCAACGTTTGTTGCGATTTTGGTTCAAAAATGCAATTCTCTGATGTTGTCTCGTTGGCTTTGCAAACAGGCATGTTGATTTACATTTCGAATGCACTGCAATTGGAAGGACTGGCAACGAAAAAACCACGGACCACAAAATTTCCATCGAAAGCAGCGGTAAGCGAAAAATTGTATCAAATATTTGCAAGTGGTTAAGTGATTTTTTTTTTATATCTTCAAATGAAGTGAATTTTTGCAACGTCAAATTAAGGAATAATATCGATTTTTTTTGTTATTTTGCTTATCCAATGTTGAAATTGGGACACTCTTATTAATTTTGCTCGCATTGTTTTACGGTCATTGTTTTTAGGGTGATTCTGGTGGAGCATCCGTATCACTTTATCGTGTTAACAACACCAAAGGTACGACCTGCATTCTCATTCGCACCGATGGCATTCTCGATATTAAGTATCGCAAATCGACTGGCGAAGATGCGACCGCCAACACTTTTATGCCCGACGAAACCGAACTCAGCGGTGACTGTTCCGATGACAATGTGCAAAGCTTAACGATGATATTCAAGGGATTCACACTGTTTATGCTGTTCAAGAAAACACCTGGCGGCGAACGATGGTACGTTAGCACCATCGATCTAGCTTACTCATCATCCAATCCGTTGCTTGAGCAAATCGATCGACCAAATCTACAAGTGAGTGCGAATTCTCCACTTTTCTCAATTGATTTTTCTTTCGTTACATTTTTTCTGCCGTTTAAAAAAAAATCCAAACCATTTTAAGTATACTGATTTGAATGCAAACTAACCAGTGTGTTTTCCTTTTGTTCAGGTGAAATTGACATCCGATCCAAGCAAGCTACTATTCCCGACGCCAGTTGGTAAATCCTACTCATGCAATGAATCTGATATCATATTGCATTCACGGGTGAGCATTTAATATTCAAAAAATATATAAAAATTTCATGGATTTCATTAGTTCAAGATTTCTTTTACACATAAACAACATTTAACATGATATTAGTCCATATTTTATTCGAATGTTTTGGATTCTTTTGCATTCGTGTTTCATTCTGTTTACGGAGATTTTGTCTTTGATTTTTCGAAGACATTTAAAAAAAAAAGACAGAACTTCACAGACATTTTTTTCTCATACGATATTGAATGAACATTTTGCTTTTCTTTTGATACATTTAGGATGAATACGATGGAATTGGACACACAGCTATCCTGAATTTGCGCGAGTTACGCATGCAAAGTTTTATGTTCAGAGTACAGGGCACCTGGGGACCTCCATACCAGTGTTCAGCCTCAGGTAAATGTGCTAGTGTTTTCATTCATTTTCCGATGAACTCGATGAAGAATCAGTTCAATTTCATATGAATCAATTTAAATTTGAAAAGAAAAAGCTTGAACAAGTACATATCTTTCTGGAACAATTATCCTTTAACAATTAGTTTATCATATGATTTTCAAACGATTTGTCTTCTAGTTATAAAGATGAAAGTTTCAACCATTAAAACAAAAACAAAACTTTAGTAGAAGAAATACAAGAAATATTCCAAATTTTTAATTGCATTCAAAAAAAGACACAATTTTGTATGACTGAAATCAATAATTATTGATCAATTATAATTAATTCGTTTCAAAAAGGGAATTGTTTTTCAAAGGGGAATTTTTTTTAAAGGGGAATACTTGTACAGTCAATCTTTTCACGTTCATTGAATACGCTATTTGCTTATGAAACACATGTAAATGTGTGATTGAGCTTATTTGGTTGAAGAAACATGTGCAACTTTAACCATATTGATTGTGTCTCCTTTTCCCCCATGACAGGCACTTATCGCGATGAGTCAGCACCATTGTTCGTTGGAACCACATTAGCAATAGCATCATTAGCTGCCGTTAGTGCATATGGTGTTTGGAGGTAAGCAACGCATTCATAACCATATTTGCAGTTTTTCCGTTGAAAATGATTTTTTTTTTATCAAGGTTGAATCTATTCATTTTTTTTTCCTTCAAATTTTTCGTCTTCGTTTGTTTCCTTATCGCTCAAAGCATTTTCATTGAAACAATTTTTTCCTATTTGTTTAACAAAATCTCTTCAATTCCCAATTAGGTATTACAAAATAAAGAAGTTCCAATACGGAACAATGGAGTAAATATCGAAATGAATGTCTATTCTTCACAGAAGTGGGCACTAGGGGGGTGTATTTCCGGATTTACCCTCCACTTGGAGATGGTAACGTCCGGATTTCCGCCCTCTAATTTTGCTGGTCGTGACCTCCCCCTAAATTTTTTATAATGAAAAAAAAAATGGATCTTAATACCCCCGCCCTAAAAATTGATTCTCATCGCATCAAGTAAATAATAAACAAACAAACGTTACGTTTACTTTTTCATTTGTATAAACTTTAAGTTTTTATTTGCGTCACTATAAACGTTGATACATGATTTTGATTTGAATTTTATACATCATCATCTGTCTGTTCAAAACCACATCTGTGCATTCAATTGTATTCAATTCTTCAATTGGCGCTTGTCATCAGGTTGTTTGATCTAACCAAAAAAGGAATGGACACTTTTTTTTTAACGACACACACAGGAGCCGATTGTCTCCTGTCAACTTGGACGCAATTATGCGGATTTAGTTGAATAGACCGGACGATTTGTCATACTTTGCAGCTGCAAAGCAACTCTAACTCTTTCCACTTCTGACGTGTTTTGCGAAAACAATGTCGATAAATTAAATTTGTTTATTTTGTCTAAATGTTTTTTTATCAACACGTCGACCAAATCTCCTTTGAAGCCATTTATTTTCGCCATTTGTTTTATGCGAGCGTATTCAGTCATGTAATTTTGTGCCGAGAGTTTCATTCGACACAATCGATGAACCATTGAATGATACGCAGCCAATTTGTGTTGCATGCTACAGTTTGAATCACTAGTTATTGTTCTCAAGGTGTCAGTGGGTTTGTGGTAAATGGCAATATCAATTTTATTGTCCACAGAAGTTGACAATTCCATGTCCAAAAACGATAATTTACACTTATCATTCTCCCTCTCACACGTAAATTTAATCGAATCGAATCGATTATTGAGCACGTTTAACACTAAGTCAATATTTATTAATAAAATTCAAATCAAAAATCATGTATCAACATTTAAAGAAATTTCACAATAAATTTTTCTTTCGCACTTTTTTCATTAAATGAATTTTGTTTTTTGTTTTTATAAATTAAAGCAAAAAAAAAACACTTAAACTAATTCAATATTTTCTTCATTTTTGCGCATGACTAAGGAACATTATCATTTCGTTCGCTTGGATGGCGAAATTGTGGTTTTTCAAATTCTCCTCGAAAGAAATTATAAGAAAAATATTAGTGCAACTTATCACACAATCTTTTAATTGTAACAGACGCCAAAAAAGATCAAACATTGAAAAAGATAATTCAAAAAAACTCTCCGGAAAATTCACACTTCTACCGTTTCAGAACTAAACACTTTACGTTTTCGATGTATTCAACTCATACACCAACTCACTCACTCATTCACTCCTTGTTCTAAAGTCGAACGTGAGGCCGACATAACAAAACACAATGAAAAAACAATGCTAAAAAAACAACTATTTAAAAAAATGAATGAAATGAATTATATATACAAAATAAAGTTGAAAGTCTTCCATTTTGATTTAGTGTTTAAAAAAAAAGAGATACATTTAATATTTAAAGAAAAAGAAAGAGTAGTGCATAAATCAAATAGAAAATTTATTCGTAAGATATGAAAACAAATGTAATGTTTAACAGCAGCAGCATCAATAGCAAAATTATTGAAATAATGATGCCGTTATCGTGTAGCAAATTGCAGTTAAGTAAATTTTTGCAAATTGCAAGCATTTGGATATGTGCGCAAGTTCAAGCCTTGAATTTCAAGGCAACAGCTGTCTCAAAAACAAGAACAATGATCTCATCCAATTTGCAGAGGAAAACAATGGTTGAGATCAGCCAATTTAAAAGAGAGAGAGAGAGAGAGAGAGAGAGAGAGAGAGAGAGAGAGAGAGA